GCTGGAAACCAGCTCCACGTCCCTCAGGCACCCAGAGCCCTCCAGTCCTGAGGCACTTGCCGGGAAGTCTGCTCTCGGGGGGCAGCCCTGTGCACCCCAGGTCAGCTCGATGCTAACTTCTAAATACACCTCATTGAGCCCTTCTCCCTCCATCCCTAAAAATGGCTTCCCAGCTCCCACAGAGCTGCCCCAGGCACTCATCCCCAGGAGCCAGCACTCAGCAGAGCCACTCTGGGGGGCACACACAACTCCGGGCGTCTGGCACTTCACAGATGGGGGCAGTGAGCACGCAGCCTGTGCTCACACGGGTCAGGGCGGTCAGGAACACAAGGGACACTCCCACGTAGTCAGGAGTCCTGAAGGCCCAGGCAGAAGTGCGTGCTGGCAGCAAAGCCACGGGAGCTGGGACCCGCTGGGACCCGGGCCTCTGCCCCCTGATGAGTAAGGGGGGTGACGACAGGGCCACCTAGCAGGGCTCCGAGAGCGGATGTCTCCAGAGCTCTTGGAACAGCACCCGGCTCACCGTCAGGCCGGGTGAGTGCACATTCATAACCCGTACTGTCACCATCGGTGTTCGCGGCACTCAAGAACCAACCCAGCCTGCAGATGCCCACCCCAAGTCAACCCCACTACACTCGGAGTGCTCACTCTGTGCCGGACACCGCTTGGCCGTGGAGGTGCTAGTGCTGCTGATTAAGGGCCGCCGGCCGGCCAGCAGGGAAGGCCCGTCTCCCGCACTGGCTCCCCGAGGAAGCAGGACAGCCAGGCACACGGCCAGACGCTGGTACAGAGGGGCAGAAGCAGTGACCCCACGAGACGCTGGGGGTGAGTGCCTGCTCAGGGGCCAGCACAGGGACACACACAGACTGGTCAGACCATCCAGGTCAGCCTGAGACGTGCAGCCGCAGCTCCTGGGGCCCAGCTTGTGGGGAACCCTGTCCCCGCCTGCCGCCTGGGGCCCTGACGCCTCACTGGATCACGCTGGGCTCCAGCAGCACGTAACAGAGTCAGACACCATCCTGGGGGCTTAGAACCCTGCAGGGGAAGAGGCTGCCACCAGCGTGGGTCCCTGTGTGGCATCCCCCATGAACCTTCGTGACTCCCCCACCATAGACGAAGTTCTCCCGTCGAGGCGGGGGCGTCTTCCAACCCAGGCTTGGTCCCGTGGCAGGATGGATCCGGGACGAGAAATGAGTCACTATCAGTCACAGAAACAGGAGGTTCTCCTAAGAACTTCCCCGAAGGCGGCTGGCAACGCCGGCGGGCTGCGATCAGGCCAGGTTCTCAGGCAGCAGGCCGTACGGATGCCGGCTGTCAGCAATGAACGATGGCAGCTCACACGCCTCCTCCCGACGCTTCCCGGCCCGCGGCGCTGCTTTCACAGCGACAGAGGCATCAGCCAGGTGCACGCCGCCGCTGTGCGAGGCCCCTCGCAGGGCTTAAAATCGGCCTCACCAGCATCTCCGGTCATCTCGGACCACAGCTAGGGAGAGGCCACGTGGAGGCCCTGCCCTGCTGGGATGCAGCCACAGCACACACACCCCGGGAGCACCTGCGGCCAGAACTTCTCCCGCCAGAGCCCTTCCCGGCTGGCCGGCCACAGGCCTGCAGGCTGGCAGCACAAGCCCACAGGAGCCCTAGGGGACACGGGACTCAAGGAGGAAGACTGCGTCATTACCCGGAGTCGTAAGGGGTGTCACTGCCCTTAAATCAGAAAATAAATCTTCACTTCTTGCTCCCTGGAGTACATAAAATATTAGAGGGATTTTTATAGTTATAATCAAAAAACGCGTTTCTCCAGCCACCGGTGGCTGTATCTAATTAGGGTGAGGGATGTTAATGACACAACTATGGCCCAGGACATTTGTCCTTGTGATATTAATTGCATTTAAAGAGAAAAGCCTGACTTGTGCCTTGCTTCGTAATTAGCATGCGTCTGATAATTAATAACAGAAAGGCAAACTGTCTTTGTCTTGTCATCTGCAATTAGCTACAAATGTTTACATTCTTTTTTTCTCTCTTTTCCTAAATAGTGGATCAGCTTAGGGCCCAGAGACAGCAGGCCGGCAGAGGGTGCACAGGAACCAGGCCGTCCCCAACACCTGGACAGAGGTGCCCCCCATCACACCCATCGCCACGACTGACCCCGAAACAGGGTGAGGGCCACAGAGCAAGACCCAGGGTGGCTCGGTCCCCACGTGACAGGGAGCTCTAGCCACCGTCCCCGCCTTCAAAAGCTCCCATAGCAACTAGGGTTTACGCAGGGCCGGAGCTGCCTCTTCACCGGCTGGGGGCCCACCTGGCCCTCATTTCCTCAGGAGGCAGAAGGTGCGGCCCGGGGAGGATGGAGGGAGAGCAGAGGCTCACAGGCCTCTGAGTGAGCACCTGCTGCATTCCGCCGGGTGCTGCTAAGTGGGAAGGAGAGAGAGAAGAGAAACAAACAGGAAGCAAGCTCAAGATCTGACAATCAGAAGGCAGAGATTAACCCTGCGTGAGGTGACAGCTACAGCCCAGATCTAAGGAAGCAAGGCACCCATAGCATCCCACTTGAGTGCACCAAGCACCTGCACCTCCAGGCACAGCTGGGAATGAGCTGGGGGACGAGCCGGGTCCCCACCCGCCTGCCCGGCTCTGTGGGGTTAGAGCCACAGGGCCGTTTCACCAAAGCTCCCCAAGGAACATCTTCCCCAAAGGCCCGGCAGCGCCTGGGGAAGGGCCCCTGCACGGAGGTGGGCGCCAGCATCACCTGGGGAGAAGTGGGCCCCCCCACCCCCACGAGTTCCAGTCTAGTTGGTCTAGAAGTGGAACTGGGCTTCAGTATGTTAGGGCTCAAGGGAGTTTTACACAATGAAAAGAAACTGTATGGGCAGAAAACAAGGAAAAACACAGGCGGGAAAGCCGCCCTCCAGCCCCACGTCCCTCAGGCATCCCCACGAGGAGAAGCAGCGGCCCCTGCAGCCCCACTGCGGGAGCTTCTGTCCTTTCCAAACCCCAGGAGCCAGGGAAAGAGGGCTGGGCCTGTGCTCGGCACAACTCCATCCTCACTCCTCCTGCCTGTGTGCACAGCACGGACACACGGCCCTCGGGCACATGTCCCCAAGCCGAGGGAATGATGCATGTTGACCCACACGTTGGGGTCTCCCCCCGGGTTTCTTCACCTGCAGTCCCGTTATTACGCACACGCACGCAAGCTAGGCCGCATGGTTTACAGAGCTCCCTACCCGAGGCTCACCGGAGACAGGCACCCCGTCAGGCCCTGCCTGGGTCCCAAGCCCCTTTCTCCGCCAGATGAGGGCAAAGGCTCTACACGGAGGCACGGTGGCTCCCCCTCAGTCAACAATGAATGCCCGCTGCAGAGAACTCAGACGCTCAGGAACTGGATGTGCCCTCAGGGGCGCCCACAGGGGAAAGACCAGCGGGCTGACTTACAGACTGAAGAACATGTGCGTGACATCAGGACCGTGCTGCGGGCTGCCTCCCAGCTCCTGGGGGTGGGGCTGCCCTCTCCGGGCCACATGTCCAGGTGCTGGAGCAGCCCAACAGGGCTCGAACCTCAGGCTCTACCTTCTTGGCTATGTTCACCAGCTCCAGAGGGCGGACACGTGCCCGGTGCTTGGAGGGCCTTGACGTGGGAGCTCACACCCCCTGGCCCAGGCACCCAGCAGCCAATGGCATCTCAGACCCCCAGGCCTCTCTCCTGGCTCGCCCTCCCCAATCTTCCCGTCCCACCTGGGACTCCCCCACACACTGCCCAGGCCACCCTGCCATCCTTGATCTCTGGACTCACACTCTACCTACCCTGTGTCTACCTTTGGCACAACCGGTCTGGCCAAGGCCAGACACCACATACCCCTGCAACCCTCCCTCACCCCTGCCGGTCAGGGGCTCTGAGCACAGCCAGCCTGAGGCTCCCCAATGCTGGCACCTGGACCTCATCCCATCCCATCCTCAGGCCCCTGCCTCACGAGTGGGCCCGTTTCGGGTCTCCCCAGCCCCACCTCCACTACGGCCGACAGCGACAATGGCAGTAAGACACAGCTGGACAACCTGAGGCTGTGGGGACGGCTGTCGATGGATGAAACAAACCCAAGGATGGGGCATGCCAACTTGTGGGCCACTCCTACATTGCAGGTGAAGGCCAGATGACCCACTCAAGGTCAGGGGCTGACAAGCGATGACCGCACACCAGGAACCCCGACCTGTGATGTGAGTCCCTGAGCCCGCCCCAACCCCAACTGGCTGGCGTGTGGCCTGGGGCAGAGCTGCCCCCACAACACCTGCAAACATGCCCTGTGGCCCTCCTGTGACCCTGGTGGCTGGGTCCCCACAGAGACCAGACCACGGGCTGGAGCAGGAGGAAGGGCCTACAGCTTGTGTGGGACAAAGACGCATTAAAAGCAAAGCTGTCTGACCCCAGACGGTGGTAAGGAAGCCTCTCAGTGCTGGGCGCCCAGGCCAGCAGCAGTGCCTGCGCACACCCCACCCAGGCCTGCAGGCTGCACGCTCGGGGGCAGGGGAGGGGGCAGACGTGGTCCAAGAAGGTGGCACGTGGCCACACGGCCAAGGAGTACACCTGACGCTCAGCAGGGCAACGCAGGCTACAGAGCCTGATGGGCAGACGTCTCGGTCCACACACCCTGTGCGGCAGGGCCACCATGGGCCCAGAGCCGGGGCACAACCAAAGGACGACCTGGCCGTGCGCGTCAAGCAGGGATCACAAGGGTTTTCACATCAGCTCCGTGTCGGGCGGGTCATGACGTGGAGGAGAAAGGGCACTGGCGTCCCCACAGCAGATTCCCTGGGGGGCCAGGCCCCAGCTCCCACGCCCCATGCCCTGCCCATCCCCACCTGCGTTTCTGACGAAGGGAAGCGCTGTGACCATCAGGGACCCGCAGGCTTGCGCCTGCGTGACAGGGACATGATTCCCTCCGCTCCCAGGGTCTAAAGCACCCCACGCCCTGAGCTCCCTGTGCCACAAAGACCACCACCAAGAGACTCACCATGTCCGCTCTCTGCTTCTGGCCTCCCAGCTCCTCCAGGGCCTGTGACAGCTGAGCCTTCGAGACAAGATAGAAAAAGCAGAGTCAGTGGGCCTCCTGCGCCTGTCTCCACTGCCCCCACTGCCCCCACTCCCTGCTGAGCACAGGGGCCTCGGGAGCTGTGAGGCAGCCTGGCATGCGCACTGCCTGTAGCAGGTGACCGGGCCAGGGCGGGTGCTGGGAAACACAGTGGGAAGTCCATCCCCAAACCTGCTGCCTGAAGCAGCCGAGCAGTTATGGGGGGCACAGATGTTCCCGATGGGGTTTTCACACCCCTGGCAAGAGGGGTGCAATGCACGTCCTCATGGCAAGCTCCCATTCTGGAAGAAGCCCTGAGGGTGACTTTCCTGACAGGGCCAACATCTAGGAAAACCCCTGACGCCCCCCAACCACGGTCCCCTAAACGGGTCTCTAGGATCCTCCCCGGGGGCTGGCCCGCCCAGGACAGAGATGCAAGGGAGGTTCCTGACCGTCAGGGCCAACGGCAGTGCCAGGCCAGGTTCCAACGACCCAGCAGGAGCTCAGGGGTGGCCGCCCTCCGGCCTGGCCAGTCCAGCTGGCAAGTTACGTCCCGACGGATGCCAGCACGGAGCGGGCAGCAAACCGAAGTCCAGAGTAGCCCAGGGCCGAGGTCCACCAGACCCGAGCCCTCATTGCTCCCGTGTGCCCCGGGCCTGGATGCCACGAGCACGGTGTGTGCAGCCTGCCTGGGGTCCTGCACGGATGCTCCCAAGCAGCGTCAGGCCAGGACACGCCACCAGGGACAGAAGCGGTCACACACCTTTCCCAGAACCCAGTGAAAACAGATGCAGCAAACGAGTCGTGGGGCCTATTTTACGTGCCGGCAGCCACCACGGTGCAGAAGTGCCGGGGACACCGGTGCTGAGGTGGAAGTCACAGGGTCTGTGCCACTCCGAGGAATGGCCCAACCCAGAGCAGGGACAAGAGCAGCCCACAGACTGGAAACCCCGGCCCTCCCGGAGTGACAGGCGGCAGACATGCAGAGGTCACGCACTGCCTCCACACTCAGGGCACCCCGTGGGGTCCCAGCGTCCAGCTCCTGAGCGTGCAGGGAGGAGGCTGGCGGTGCTGGGTTCTCGGGCTGTGGGAGACCTGCATCTCGTCGTGACAATGTCTGTGTGCACCCACCAAGCCTCCCCAGCACACCCGCTTCCGACACGCCAAACCCACCGACGAGGCCAGGACTCCTGCTGAAAGCTCGTCAATACTTTGCAAGCCACGTGAGCAACATTGCCAGGAGCGGAACTGAAAACACGGTGAACACAGCAGGACAGCAATCACCCCCACAGCAATGGAACCCCTGCTCCAACCCCAGCTACAAAACCAAGCCGGAAACCCAAAATTAAACACCACCCATTAGACTGAGCGCTAAGCTTCATGCCCAGCCCCATGAGCCCGTGAGGTGGCTCCTCACAGCCCACCGGCCTCAGCCTCACCTCAGGCCAGGCACAGAGGGATGGACGCAGCCACCAGGTGGGTGGGTGGGGGGGTAGTGGGGGGCACGGGTGGGCAGGTGCGGGGCTGGCGGGGGGTCAGGTGGGGAGCACAGGTGGGCAGCTGGCGGGGGGCAGGTGGGGGCAGGTGGGGGCTGGTGGGGGGGGGAGGCTGGCGGGCACTGCAGAGACCACCTCTCGTGGGCAGGATGTGATGTCTGAAGGACGGCCAGGAGAGGAAGGAAAGGCAACATCCGGACTGTGGTAGCCTATTTGTAAACTCACGGCCCCCCGAAAGAGACCACATACACCGTCACTTGGACAGACCGAGATCCACTCTGCAGAGCCAGGACGCAGCCCACCCGGGAGCAGCACCTGCTCTTTCAGGCTGGCATTTGCAAGTGGCTTGTCAGGGAGAGGGGAGCGGACACATGCCGCCCCCCAGGCAGAGGGCCTGGGGCAGTGTGGCCCCTTTGGCCCCCACACCCCCCAGGGGGTCGGTTACAGGGCTCATGCTGGGGACAATGTCCGGCCCCACCCCGGGGCCTCCCCATCTTGCCCACCTGATCGGTGCCAGCAGTGGACACAAAACAGCTACGGAGCAGTAATGAAAAACAACGTGACAGAAGACGTTTCCCAGAGGACAAGACACCTGTGCCAACGAGCACACATAGAAGGCCGTCAACTCCGCTAGAAACCAAGAAATGCCAATTGAGGCCCGCCGCAAATTACCACTCCGCACCCATTTAACTGGCAGAAACAGAGAACTCGGGCAATCCCAGGAGTCAGGACAGACGGCAGGCATAAAAACTAGGAAACCGCTCTGCAAAATGATTTGGGATTTGCCTGAAGTCTAACGGGCGTCACCTCTCGCTCAGTGATCCCACCCCATGAATGCGTTTACAGGAAACCACGGAACGTGGGCCTGGCTGATCTGCAGTGGCGAACATCGGAAACCGCAAGGGGTGAACCCACATGCTGTGGTGTGTCTGTGTGCACAGCGGGGGCACCAGCATCCCACACGGCCCTTGGGCGCAGCCCCCTGTGAGGTCAGCCAGGAACGGAGGAAAGTGCAGGGCTAAGTCTGCCCGTGGGCACGCCAGGTGTCAGCCAGGCTCCCGCACTTAGACTCGGCAAGCAAGTCGCACGCAGAAAAGGAGCGGTGACCCCTGGGGCAGTCTGGGTGGCAGAGAGGGCCCCACGCCAGGACGCTGCAGATGGGTGCAGACACTTCACCACGGTCTCTGCGAGGACACGGGTCAGCAGGGGTGCAGAGACCATGATGAACAGGCCGACGCTGATCCAAAATGCTCGGTGCCCTGATCAACATCCCAGTCCCTGCAAGAGAGAGATGCAGGTGGCGTGCTTCACAAATCCTCGCACGACGCGGGGCTCAGAAACGGCACAACTATGACGGAGACCCGAGAGGGCTGCAGAGATGCAGGGAAACCAGAGGAGCTGGCAGAAACCCGACTTGGAGGAAAGTCAACCCCGTGTCGGGAACCAAGTGTTCACCCACATCTCCCTGAGGGAGTCCCGCCTTGCGGCAGCCGTCAAGAAAACACCTCCCAGGGACTGAGGCCGGGAGGCTCTGGCACCCTCCCTCCGGCGAGGCTGGAGAGCCCACACTGTGCGAGGGGACCCATCACACTCAACGAGACAGACGCCGACAACTCCTGTGTCCCACGGAGGCGACGGGAGGGGGGGCGCCCCCCACCCCCGAGGTGCCGAGCCAGAGACACAGGGCTGTCCCCACCCAGGGCACGGAGTTACTGAGAAGCGTGCACAGAGGCAGAGAGGGAGCGCTGCGGTGGACAGCGTGTGTGTCACACCCCAGTGAGAAGCGGGTCTGGAACACGTGCCCCCTTGCACCCTGGAGGACAAGTCAGGGACAAGGACAGGGCCCGTTTTGCTACACGAAGGAATAAGTTTCCAAGAGCAGGAAGCTCGCCATCACCAAACACCATCCTGCAACCTGTCACTTGCCCCCCACGGGAGGCCCTCTGTGTCTAGGACCCCAAGCACGCGGGAGGGCTCAGGTCGGGGGGGCCACGGGGTGGGCTGCTGACATAAGCCCATGGCCGAGGAGCCGCACGACCAGGGGATGGGCCAGGTACGGGCAGGCAGCACAGGACGGAGCCTCTTCCTGGGCAAGCCGACTCTCCTTGGGGCCAGACCCGTGGGTGGGGGAGGGGCGTGCGCCCTCTGGCTCACACACACAGGACAGCTGACGCCATCGAAGGAGCTGGGGAAGGGGCAGTGGAGAGGCTCCCACATCCCACAGGACTGAAGACTGGCCACCGTCACCCAGACTCCGCCAGCCCTGACCGGCTGCATCTCTGCATGAGACATGGAGGTCATGGGGGACCGGGAGAGGAACACGCGTGCTGAGTGGGGACTGGGGCCCCCGTGGTGACGGGGGGTGGGGGAGGCGGGGGCTGCTGTCACACGGCAGCTAGACTTGCAGCAGGGACGATGGGTGGGCGGGCAGTTCCCTATGGCACGGGCGGCCGCGGGTCACACCCAGCCACACTGGGACTGAACGGGCACCAGCAGCGGCCCAGGGGACGCTCTCCATCGAGAAGGAAACACAGTCCGTCCAAGTGCATCCACCACAGACGATATGCCTGCAAGGGTACTGGTTGTAAAAATGCCCAGAGCCCCCACGTGCCTCCCCCAAGCCGGGCACCTCTTCAACTGACCCACCCGCGCCCACCCCACAGAGTGTGCTGCCTACCGCAAAGCAGCCCAGTTGGCGACCAGGCCTGAGTCAGGGCAGGGCACACAGACAAGGAGGCCTGTGCAGCCTCATCCGCCCATCCCCGCAGGTGTCCCGGACACCACAACCCCTGCACCTCCCGGCCCACACCTGACACTAGATGGCTCTAAAACGCCAGTCTTTCCAGAAGACTGGGAAGCGGGCATGATGCTCGCCCAGCCCTGCGGAGGTGCAGAGCCTGCGGAGCCCGGGCCTAATACAGAGGTCGGGCACCTGCCACTCCCCGAGGCCGCTGGTCAGAGCCCATCCACTGGGCCTTAGCTCGTCACTCCTTCCTGCGGTACTGTCCCTACAAGGGTCACCCCACCTGCATGGCCAAGGCGGCAGGTGGGCATGGGTCTGCCTGCCTGTGGAGTGTCCCATGTCTGCACAGAAGGCTGCTCGTCTACGAGAACAGCTGCTGGTCAGGCTGCCGTCTGTCCGGCGCATCCCGCCTGGCCTCGCGGCAATTCACCCCTGCCTTCCCCTTGAGATTTCTGCCAGGGCCGGGCTGCCGCCTGAGCAGGAGGGCGCCATCAGGCCACCCCACACTCATCAGCCACAGGCGGCCTGACACAGGCCGCATCGTCTGCGGCATCCGATCCACTCACAACAACTTCTGGGCTCCCAGCTCCGCCCGAGATGCTGAGGCCTCCGGGAAAACCAGGCTCACACCCAGGAGAGGACAGTGCACCCAGAGCCCTCGGACAGGCTCACAAGGTCTGGGGGCCGGGCAGCAGCAGTCGCTGCCATGGGTTTTGGAGGGAGTCCAAGCAGGGCCCACAGACGGCAGTTTCAGGCTCCCA